CTCGAAAAAGTCGATAGTTTAACGAGAATTTGTTAAGAATATTATTACATAAAAAAAAACAAAAAGAAAAAAAAAATTAGAATCTTAACTGTTTAAATTCATTATTATAATAATAGTTATGTTCTAAGAAGCTTTATTTTTAATTAGGTGATAACGGATATGAATTATTATTTTTGGTAAAGCTTTAAAATTATAAAAAAAACTTGACTGTGATTGATAATAATAGAAATGTGAAATATTATTAATAAGACTGAGTATTACAATTTCATTGAAGAATAAACTGATAAAGTTTTCCGATTGAATACATTGGAATTTATTACAGTTTTACGAAAGAAATTTATTTTTTAATGTTTCATACGACTATACCATTCATAACAACTATACGTTTATTTTCTGTGATACCATATTAATATAATACATTAAGTTATTATTTTCTACACCCGCTCCATTAAGCTGTCATTTCGGGCTTTGAAATATAAAATAATTATTGAGCATTTCACATCATTGCTTAGAACGCGACAGGGGGTGTTCCAAATGTAGAATTTTATCACCAAATTATATTTTTATGTATGCATAACTTATTAGGAAAATACTTAAATGTATATTGTATATTGTACTGTTTATTTCATATAAGTTTTTTGTATAATTATCTATGTACTCGATGCCACTTCTTGTTTTTAATACATAAAAAAGTACAATTTTGTTTTTATTTTTTATATAAAAGATCATTAAATGTGTTCGCGTGAAAAAATACATCTTTTAAAAGTATACACTTTATGTTTTATTATATTTTATGCGTTATAATGATTGGGAAATGAACGTTAGTTTAATATATACTTCAAAGAAGAAGAACCCTCTTAAACGCCGCATACAACTATCTACTATGTGATATACACGATGTAGAGGCAAAATAATAATAAGAAAAACAGTTTACTTAATTACAATAAATTGTACCTCTGCCCACTTTCATTCAGTATACAATTTAACGACACAACTTCAGTATACATTTTTAATCAACACTAATTTTCACATAGAATTTAATGAAACTTCTTATTAGTAATACAAATGATAGTTATATAATAATTAAAAAAGTACATGTATAATGTTTAAATTTCACGATTGATGGCAATTTGATTTAGTCTTTATAATATAATATACTGAATGTCTGACTTAAAATGTCTTTTTTATTATTATAGTCGTTATAATTAGAATACTGTTTATTTTTTGCTATTTTAACTTTTTTTTCGTTAATTGTTTATAATTTTATTTTTCAAGTACTTTATTTACTGAACAAGATTTCTATTTTATACATTCCTATGATTTGTTTCTGCTAAACATATAATAACAATCTTGAGCTATTTGTTCAACTATTTATTAATTTGTATTATAAATCATCTTTATTCAAACTATGTTTATATTTATGTTAATTTGTCTTATTCTGTAACCTAATTTTGAATAATTTCTAGATACATTTTTAATTCAAATATTCAAAAATGTATTTAAACTATTGAATATACATTTTAGCTAATAAGATATATTATGTTATTATAACGTATAGTTTATTATTACATATAAAAAATAATAAGACCTGCATACTCGTACACTTTGCATACGTAAAATAATTTTAAATTAGTATTATTTAATTTATAATTAAAGTGCTGATACTTAATTTTAAACAAAATATTTTAAAAAGATAATTTTTCTTAATTTTATATTTTACATTGCGCCAAGTATTTTTTTATGTATAACACTAATAACTAATTTCATTCAGTTGAAGATTATTTATTTTAATGAACGTAAGATTCAATTTTCAAACATTAAATCTGAACAGTGTAATATAATTTATATAGTTTTATTTCATATTTTTTAAGTCATGTTTGGTTTCATAAATTACATTTTAATACATTTCTAAAAAGTGGATACTATAACGAAAACTCGTTAATTAAGAACAATTTTAAAAGAATATTTTTAAATGTTGATTATTTTAATTTGTGTATATAAATAGTCTTAATAAGAATTAATTTTTTCATAAAAACATAAATATTTAAATACACCAACAAATAATATTCAGACTTTACACTATACAGATAACTTGGTTATAAAAAGTTTATTTTATATCCATTAACGGGAAAGTTGGACCGGAAATTGTTGTTTTTAAACGACTTACCAGATAAATTACTCCCCAAGTAGTGCCAATATGAAGTTATACGAAAGCGTTTGCATTTCTAATTGGTTTCTGTTTTGCTTGAATCAAAAATACGAGGCCAAGAACTCGTTATAAACTTTGTAGTCACATTTATTTTTTACGCCCTTATGTGCATTTTCAAAATTAATTTCCTCACTTTCATTTTATTTTTTTATCCCATATAAATAGTGTTTAGATATTTCCGTTATGTTTTAGAACACCTTGCTTATACACCTTACCTATTTTTATTACCTAGAAAAAAATAAAAAGTGCTAACGTTAAGAACAGTGGAAGATAAGATATCAAGTTATGGGCTGTTATTTTACTAGAAAATGTGGTTCTCGGAAGCTAAAATAAAAATAACATATCAAAAAGGTGTGTAACTAAGAATAAATTATATCCTCAACTTAGCAGTACCACATTGTTTAAAATGGGATTTTTCGAGAATTTTGTCTGGGAAAGAAATATTGTAAATTGCTTAGACCTATAGTTCTGGAGAACTATATAAACATAATTAGTAAATGCAAATTCAGATTAAATTCTGAAAATAATAGTAACTGTGTTAGTAATAAGTTAATAATTATTTACTTGAAAAATAAATACTTACTATAGAATACCTAGATTTTTAAATTAATATTACTTTGTGACACAATCGCAATACATTATATAATATTTTGGGACCCATCATTAATGTATTTGCTATGCATACTGGTGAAGAATCACTTAAATTATATTATTAACTTATTTTATTTCTTAATCGTTTATCATGCTTCTCTATAAAAAAATACTAAAACTAGTTGTAATTCTCTTTGATTTTATACATTTATTGTTTTGATTAACTGAATATTGTTTCGTTAACATAATTAAATATAGTATAAATTTATGATGCTAATTAATAGCTTTTAAGATATCAAATCATGTTATAATATTTTTCATAGCACTTTATAACAAACACTTACTTATCTTTAGTTTCACTCAATAACAAGTATAGTTAAGTTATAAATATTGAAAATTATCAATCAAATTAGTTTATATATAATGTAATAAGTAAACATGACCTCACAAACATTTAAATATTATGTAATTAACAGTACTTAGTTAGTTAAATAAGTCCAAATGTGTATACGAATAGTATTGTGACGTAAAGTATGTAAGTATGTGGTTTACAAAATTGTTGATTTTTTTAAATATGTTTTTCAAAAATATTCACAAATAAATAATATTAAAATATCATACTATCATGTACACTTATAATTATTATTATTTTTTTAAATTTTTTTTATTGGATGTGAAATAATAACTACTAGTTTTTTTTTCAATTATACTTTTTTAAATTTAATTTATTAAAAAATGAATATTAATAATTATATAAACAAACATTTTAATTTATTTTCAAATTAAAACAATGCATTTTTAATATCATTTTTTTTTTTTATTTTGTAGTATATTGATTTGATTATTTTTTCGTTATCAGTACTTAAACTGTCATTTATTTTGAAATCATATAATCTTATTTTTAAGAAACTTGTTTATATTTATGAATAGTCTTCTGAGTTATCTATTTTCCATTGATGTATAACATTGGAGTAGATATGTTTTTAATCGTTAAGTATCTCTTCTCGATAAAATTAAATGTACTTTCAGTGTATAAAAATAATTGTGTTTAAATCATGTTTTTACGTTACCTATACATTATTACCTAAAAACCAAAATATGACTATAAAAAATATTTATTTACTATGAATAAAATATAGTTAATTTACAAGATATTTATGACACAGTAGATTTCCTGGGTTTGTGGATTACTTAAATTTATAAAAAGGCATATCGTAGATATTACATATCATTTTTGTATAACACTTAACAAACTTTAAAATGTTGTATTAAATAAAATTAGTATATTTCAAGGTGTTTTTAACACACAATCCCATCGCTATTTAATCCTTATTTATATATTTTCTTTATATTACGGTAGTGATAAAAAAATTATAAAATTCTCTCACAAAGCATTAGCAGCTATTTATGGCTTAATTTCTAGGAAAATGTGACAAATTAATTCTTTTATTAATATTAAAAATTTATACTTATTTTTTATTTTGCTTTATTACATTTTATACATTTATGACTTACGAATAATTCAGGAATTCAGGTTTCTCAATTTTATATAATTTCCACGTACACTTGAAGTAAGTATAGTAATTAGGTATGTCATAAAAATATTATTTTTTTATACATCTGAAAAAGCGATTAGTCGAATTTTACGTGTTTTTGCAATTTCAGCATTTTATTTTTAAATTTAATAAAATATTATCAGCATAAGTATTTTTAAATTAAATAATATCAAAAATTGCACCAAAACTAATCAATAACTAAAAAAAATAGAATATGAATTGTATGATTGTTCACTTGAAGATAAAATAAATTCCAATTTAATAATAAATATGTTTTTTTTTTCAAATATTAATATTAATATTAAACGCTCGAAACGTTTGTGCCTCATTTAAAGAGGGTTTATAGTCGTTATAAATAATGTCATACGTCGACAAGTTAAAAGACAAAATAAATGAAAAATTATTTCTGTAAAATTTGACTGGATGTAGGTATTCACACAACTGTTTTCAAATAATTTCCAATTTTTAAACGAAGATATATTATATTATTCTATAAGGCTCAAGCGCATCGAGTGCATCAATACTTTACACTTTGAAACTGTATAATGTAATATGTGTAAACATGTATGTTTTTGAGGAGGTATGTGTATAATTGTATACGAACAGGTTAGGTTAAACCGTTAAGAACAAATTTAATCCCTCACCTTATAATAAAATGGAACAAGTAGACTGGATTCAGCCGAAACTGCTATTTATCATTTCACTGGACTTGAGCTGGTGATGATGTGGTGGCTGCAGAATGTCTCCGACACGACTGTAATAGTATCGTATCACAGTATTCGGTTAAACGCGCGCACGATTACACGTATAACACGGAAACACACTCACCGTTAAAGCACTTGCGTAATAGCAATCAACAAAATGGTATAATTTTCCTATACGAATTGATTTAGTTCTATATTGCAGTGGCAATCACTCGCGGTCGTATATCACCACTCTTTCGAAACATACACGCGCACAAATACGCAGACACCGATAACACGCAGAATGGATGCACAAAAAAAAAGCGGTAAAGCACAAAAAAAAAAAATTAAAAAACGCAAGATGACGTAAAAAAAAAAAAAAAAACAACCGTTCGGCGGCGATGGGTGATAACTGTTTGGTATTATATAGTATTATATTATAGTGTATGCCAAGTAGAGCAGACGATAAAACGGTGTACTTGTCGACAAACACGCGTAATGCCCGACCTGACCGACGCACGGGGAACACAGTATTGCGCCGGTAAACGCCACAACGGCAGCGTTCGTGCACCCAACGCGGCAGATCCAGACAGCGCCACCGTACACCGTACACACGTCAATTTCGGCTTTTATTTATTCCACCTTCTTTTCTTTTTTTTCTGTACACCCGTCTTACCCTGGTCACTGCCAACGGCTTGAGTCTACGAAAACAGTCACAATAACAAGTGCCCCCTTAAGACTTTACGGATGACCGCGTTGAAAACGTTATCATTGACGGTTTAGTGACGGTGTACACCAATACACCTAAGTCGTCCCCCCATCGAATGATAGAGAAAGAGGAAATATTCAAGGAAACTATAAACAGCGGCTCCGACGACGATGGTCTGGAAATTGAGGGGTTGATTTGAATGGAAATTAATACATTTCAATTTATTATTATTATAATTTTTTACATTGTTTGTGATTGGGAATATTAATCAACTGAAGGACTCAACAACGTACACGTGTCTTGCGAATTTCTGACAGTTAATTTTATAATGACCGTGTGTGGTAACCATCATAGGTATATATGGTGAGCGACTGGTAAACGTTTCGTATCTAATTTTTACATCTTTGCTGTAATTCCATTAAATTGCAATGTATTATGTTATAATATTTTCTCTCTAAAATGGATAACCACCCGAACTAGTAAAAGGGCCGCGCCAACTACCCATTTACCCACACACACATGCTGTGCCGCGGGCTGTGAGTTTCTTGTGAGTAAAAAAAAAGGAATAAACTACATCATATGCGCGCACGCGTAGGTATAAGTATGTGTATGTGTGTGTGTTTGTTATTAAATTTTTGATAGCGCATTCCGAAATAGTTGTATAAATTTCTGTTCCGATACAACGAGGGTGAAAAAGAATGCCAAAAACCGTATGGATTTTTATACACACGACAATTGTATGTGCGATGCGATTCTCGAATTTTGGTAAAACGGAAGATCACAATTTTCAGTCGGTAAACAGCGTGTTATTGTTAAGAATCGTAATGATAATCAAATAACCATACACACACGTGTATTGTATAGTTATGGTTTATCGTATTTGAAACCCACTACATCACGAATAATTGTGTGCGGTTTTAATTAATATGATCGTATTCAAAAGCTCACCGATATGGGTACTACACAAAACGCGCCATGCATTATGTAGTACGTATTATACGCATATACATTTAAGGGTGGTTGCTAGGAAGGTTGGTTAACATACTACCAATTTCATAATTTATTTCAATTATTCGATTCAGAAAATTTTCAATCTACAATCATCTTTTTATTATAAACCGGAATTATAAAGTTCTTACAACAGCTAGCAAATTATGACCGATTGGTTTGTATACACTATACATCGGGTAACGTAAAAACTTTGGAACTGATAAAGTGTTTATGTGCATTATGTAATAATTATCATGTACAGCTTATCGTGTTATCTGCGGTTTAAATCAGAAAACTGAGAAAACCTAATAAGAGATAGCTGATAGTCTAGTACATAAATTAGTAACTATGAAATAGGGTTTAGAATATTTAATTTATCTTCATTAAATAGTCTATACCTAAAATAATTAATTTAATATATTTAATTATTTAGTACATTTATTAAATTAACAGAAGAATAATTTACTTATGGAAATATGAACATAACTGACTCTACTCTTAGGTATACGGACATGCATATTATGTTGTTGATGTTATGACTTATTTTTAACAAATCGCGGTATATAATTGTACACAAGAAAAATAATTTATAAAGCCAATAATATTAGAACTGGGATATTGCTTAATTATTTCTGATAATAAGATGCTATTTATTATATTATAATATCATGTTATTCCCAGCTCAAACGTCCATGGCCGTTCCATATCAATACAATTAAGTTTATTGTAATATCGAGAGGCAGACTTGTAAGGTAATTTTAATTTATCACATTCACGTTATTAATATAAGATTATTGCAAGTTTTGCAGAATTGAAGTGTTTTCCAATTATAGATTAACATAGTTTTCATTTGACTGATTGTATATTTTTAGTGCAATTATTGAAAAAAAACGTTACGTTTGATTTTATTTTGTTACTTTGCCTATGTTTTACGGTAACAATCGATTAAAGCTGATACAATGTTAGAGTGAAATACAAACAGAACTAATAAATAAATATATATATATAGTCAGTGTCTTGTATAGACGTAGAATATAATGAATCAGTGTAGCCGATCCGTATTTCTGTGATAATTATAAATTGATCATCGCTGAAACCTAGGTATTAATCCTGCGAAAATTTTACAACCGAGCGCGCATACTTACTGCACTTATCCATAGATATAGATAGCCTGCAACGGCTAGGAATGTCTTATTTTATTAATAATAAAAAAAAAAAAACAAAAAAAAAAAAAATAATAAAAACAATAATAATAATAGTATTCAAAAAATGACGCAGGTACCTTGTTTCATGTAACTTCAATATTCTCAGAATTCTACGTGCCTTTGATGATAACAATAAAACATACATTCAAAGAGACTCGTAACATTAGTTGTTATATAGGATACAATACGTCTATTGTCTATACTCTACGGTCAAAGGGTATGCAATCGATACGATGATTTGAGATTGATTTTTTTTTTTTTTTAGAACTAAAATATAAAGACAAAACGATGACCTCCGTCCACGGGATAGAAAGTATGATCATCTTGACAGCGAGTGAGTTTCAGTTATGAATTGTGTACATTGATGATGTAGGTTAGTGCGAATCAGTTAATAATATATTAATATTGCAATATGCTCGTGACACTATGATTGTACCCCTGGCCAGATGGATTCACAGTAATATCTATGAATGGCAAATTATATTATAACCATTATACATTTATATCTACTATAATTTTCAGTCGTGATTTCACCTTCATGACATTCAGTTCATTGACGCCACAGCAAGAATTGATTGTTGTTTACCAAGTAACCAAATATCGATTTTATTTTGGAAAAAAAAAAACAAACAGAAAGAATTAATAAATAATTATGTGTTGAAATAAGTAATGGACGTATGTGTTTTAATTTTAATTTACATTTTTTCTTTCCATTCTAATCATCTTATCAATAAACAATGAACACTGCTATTGTAGAAAGTTCCTATAATAATTTTACATTTATATAATATTGTGTGGCAGACATGTGAAAACGGTTGTTGTTATTCATGAGTTCTTAGCGCACTCTTCTGATACAATCAACCGTGTGTGTATTCGGATGTGTGTAGTATATGTGTATGTTAAAGTAGTTTATCTACTGGATATTTGAGAGAGAGTCTGCCAATGACAATATAATTTCAGTTTCGCACACGATGCAGTGCTATATTATTCGAATAATGAATAGTGGTATATTCAGACAAAAAATGTATCGTTTAAATTGCAAAAAAAATGAAGAAAAAACAATCTTGCGATGAATTAATTCGTCTCGAGTTTTTTTTCAAGAAGTAATTACGCACGGGGTGAGATTAATGTAAATTGGTTAGTAAAAATCATTCATGCGCGGTCTAATCTACTTCAACGCAATATAGACACACCCTATGGCTATTAATATAACATTATTTGGCGTGTCACGAATAGTAAGAGTTTCTACATAACCGAATCAATTTTTCATTTAAAAATTACAATAATTTTCATTACAAATCACATAGTTGTTTTATATTTTTAAATTGTCTTTAGAAAATCAATTAAACCAAAATTGAAAGCTTGTTTGCAATGAACCGTTATTTATTATTTAGTACCTAATGTAACTCATATGCATAACAATAAAATATTTTGAATGATATAAAATTACTGTTTTCTTGTAAAAGTTTAATAATAAACAGAGATTTTACTTTATATAATATATATTTATTTACATCATTCACAGGATTATATTATCACTAATAAATTACTTCTTTTTTATATAGCTATTATTATTTTCTAAATACTAAGATATGCATTTTATTTATATACCTAATATAATACTGAAAGACCAATATAAAAAAGATAATATATATTTGGTATGATGTTTATAATATGAGTAAATTATGCAGATCTAAAATAAATTAGCTATAAAAATATTATAAAAAATATGTAGTTATAATAAAAGTATATTATATCTTGACAAGATAAAATAAAATAATGAAATGTTATTGTTATTAACTTAAATCCATACAATACATGTTAAAAATCTATCATTTAGAAATAAATACGGTTTCGTTAAAAATTAAATCAGCGTTTAATTACCGAATATAGTATTAGGTAAAATACACGATTAATTTAAATCCAAATATCTCGATAAATATATTTGAGTATGATTGTTTTACAATGTTCTAATTATCAATTAGGAATATTTTATTTACTAAGTGTTATGTGTAAAAATATTAAACATTTTTTTTAGTTAAAGAAATGGCATAGGACAAACATTATATATTTTGATATGTTTCTTTTTTTAGTTTATTCTTGAAAATATACTAGATAATAAAACTTTTTTCTGTGATTTTTGTTTTTCAATTGGAATGAAATAAATAAAAAATAATGAAATAATTATTGATATCTTACGATATTGTTTTGATATTTAATTCTAACATTTAAAATAAAAATTCAAAAGTAGCTTAACCATACATATAAAGTAAATTACGAGTGTACTTCGTCATTAGGTAGATCTCTGTAATAGATGTGTCAAATTTAAATAACGTTTATGTTTTTATTAATAGTGAGGTATGTTGAATTACAGTTTATCTAATACTTTATCATATTAGTATTAACAAATTTTATGACCTAATATTACACCATAACTATATTAATGTTATTAGCTATAAAGCCAATGATATGTGTATGTACCGAAGAAATATGTGAATAGTTTTGTGATATAAATAACTTAATATAAATTACATATTTTTGAAATTTAATTTTCAGTCCTTTCGATTAAATGTTTAATATATTATATTTCATATATATTTTTTGAATTACATC